GATGCCAGGCGGCTCTCCGACAGGCTACATGGTTGACATAGTCGCTGTACTTGTTGGTCGTATGAGTTGGAAGGGGCGCAGAGGTGGGTGGCCCTGGCGCATGCTCTTTTGACGGAGGCGCCGGTGCCCAGATCTGGATCACATGGTCAGGACCTCGTTGTGATTTTGCTTGGGTTCCTCTAGGTGGTGTGAGGGGGGAGGGGGTCCAAATGAAAGCTTCATGCTTTTGCACCAGCGGCGGCGGTGCTCACGGGTGTTGTTTTGTATATAAAGATGTCGTCGTGGATCTCTCACTTGGCCAGAGCTCCTGGGTGAAAACCCTAATTTGCGGACCTAGCAGAGGCGGCAACACTCTGCGTCCTGATGCCTCCTGGTGCCATTGTCCCATAGCTTAGGCGCAAGTGGTCGGATCATGGTGATGGGTTTATTGCATCATGTGCTCTTGTCCAGCAGCGTCTTCGTGCCGTTTTCTATTTTTCAGTTTGGTTTCGTCGTTCTGGTTTTCTTTTAACATGTTTCAAGAGTGTAAGCGCATGTTTTGGGAAAGATACTTTGTTTGCCAAATGGGCAAACACCCGGTTGGTCTCTTAAAAGTTTGTTCAAGTTGATGATAGGCCTTGGGCACCCTACAGTATCTAGCTACCGTGTACTGTTTTCGAGACTATGGATGCAAACTGTGTGATGCACCAACTTTCTGATTGATGTGTTACGATGCATCTCTCCCGCACACATATATCACTAGATAGTTATTTCAAGCGTATACGAGACATCTAGGTCGAAGCTACTGATTAACCTCTTTGCACGTCATAGCAATTGGTGACTTGTGACCTGGAAAGGAGACCATATATTAGACAGACAAGTTAACCCAGTATACGAGAGACCCAAATTAATGGGTGATCTGTTGTCTACAAAATCATTCGCAATCTGTTCATAATCATAAGAAAACTAAATAACGTCACACACATCAAAACTTACTTCCTATGTTAATGGTAGACCGTCTAAACTTTTCTTATCCTTTAATTGCCTAAAATTAGAGGAATTAAACTCTTTTGCATGGAGCCCTTCCCTAAAACTTTTTTGCTGGTAGACCGTCTAAACTTTGCCTATCCTTTAACCACCTAAAGCTATTTCTTTTTTTTCCAAAATTTACATACAAAGTCAATTCGGTCGTATATTTTCACAACACATTAATTAGATACTTGAGATTTCAGATGTACACAATTCAAGTACATATAAATTTCAGTATTGCGAAACTTCAACATTCAAATTTAACACACCATGAGATTCAAACGAACTAATAATCCAAATAAAACATGTAAAAGAAGAAGAATCAAGTTCTATGGAGTTGCCAATGATGATCAACAAGATCATCTTGGAGTTGGTTGTGAGTTTGTTGGCTCTCGATCCTTCAATCCATCCCGAAACATCATCTTCTTATTCTCCCTCCTCCGAAGAAGAATCATCAAAGTATCTCCCACGATCTCTTCATTTACACACTATAGTGTTCCATGGTCAATTTGAGACAATAAATGTAGAAATTGAAGTAGAAATTTTTTTTGGGCAAATGGCCAAATGCTTTGCCCATGGAGGAGGTATCAGCTTCCATGGCAGACGATGGAGCTCTCACGGCGAGTGGCAGACGTGGAAGAGGCCGACAGTGCTGCTAGCCGCCCGCAACACCAAATCCCGGTGTCGTCGACAATGAATGTGAGCCAATGAAGGGACAGGAAACTCGGTAGAGCTGAACTCGACTGATTTATGTGTCGATGTCTGGCTAGGGGTTGCACGCAGGAAGCCGACGGAATTATGGTGCTTTGGTGGCTCCATTCCAGGCCAAATCAGTCTTCAACGCCATGCTTCTTGAGCTTTCCGGCGGCTGCAGCCACGAAGATGGTGGTTTCCGACAGATTTTGACACCGGGAGAATGGATAAGGGGGAAGAAAGGCGTCGCTGCAGGGAGGAGGCTCAGGATGGATACAGTGGGTCGCCAAAGGCGATGGGTGAGGTGGTGACATGAGTTGGGTTGGTGCCGTGAGACACGAGCGGGAAAAATCTATATTGCGGAGAGTTGGGCTATAGGGGTAAGTATTGAGGGACCAAAATGTATATTTTTGGAGGATTATGGTAAGGGGGAGGGATAGGTGGGTGTTAATTTCGTATAAGTTGTTTTAATGGGAGTTAAAGTTTTTTTAAGGTAAAGGCTAGAGATAGTCTATGTTGTGGCTCCAACTCCTACCGACATGGCCCTATGATACTCCTTATGCGGACCTTCAACACGTAGCCATGGTCACGTGCTGTGGCTCATCGACACACCGATGCAGGTCATCTCAATCTGCTCGTTGCACACCACCGCTAGCCTATGTTAATGCTCCCTGATGCCTCTCCTCTGGGCCATGTGCTTCTACTACCATGGTTCTCTACTACGAGCCACATGTTGTCGCTCCTTGCATGTCGCCACCACTCTGTTGTTTCTCCTTTTGGTCTGGAGCCACCGTCTACGGGCACTTGCCCCAAAGGAACCAAGATATAGGTGATGCCACCGATGTCTTGCCCTCGTTTGGAGCATCCGTGTCTGTGTCTCGAATATCCTGTCAACCGTGAGATCGACCAGCTGTAGGGTGGCTTGGAGCCTCCCCTTTGCCGCAAATTGACTCACCAAGCCGTTATTTGTGCTTCTCTTGAGGCAAATCTCCATGATATTGCAGAGACATGGAATGGATGGGAGCACAATAGGGGGCTAGGGAGCCAACGAGTAAGGTAGAAGGTCTCCCTCTAATGATAGCAGGGAGCTCCATTGCTATGCGGTGGCTTCCATGTTCAGATCCCAAACAGTGAGGAGCAGGTGGTCTGCTATCTAGGTTGTGCTGTGTGGGCGACCAAATGATGAGTGGAGTAGGTGGTGTGGGTTTGAGCGAACACGGTTAATAGTCGAAAGGTGCTTTACCAGATCTGAGTGTGGTGGATACGCTCCCCTGTTCCCGGCGGTGGTTAGCTTCATGTCACCGGTCTTTCTAGTAGTCTTCTATGGTTTCCACGTGTGTACATGTTGTAATCCCCATGTTCAATGCAGTGTGTAATTATTGTTTAAAAACCATCGGAAGTGTGTCTCGTGGAGAGGCCAAGGAGATGATGACCTGATGTTCGCTCGATATAATTTCTATAAGGTAAGCAGATTGTGCCAAACAAAACCTGGAATAAGAATATTGGCTAAAATGGGAACTGTTCCACCCCCTAAACCACTAGTAGAAGACGAGGGACGGGAGTCGATCCATGAAGTTGATTTTCACCCAAAATTCCTTGATCTTTACGCTGTGTCGTAACTTTAACAGTGAGAAAATCACGAAATTTCATCGCTCAAGCTAGCACAACCTAAGACGTAATTCGATGCTAGCCCCGCCACTAGGAAGTATAGAGGTGACCCCTTAACATTTTTTCCTATGGTGTAACTGACCTCCATGCTCTTGTCGGCCGCATCCCAACCATTCCATCAGCAGCAAACTTGATCCGCAACCTACTAGATAGAGATTGTTATTGCTGCTCTCAGCGCCATTTTTCTAGAGAAAACTGACCTGTTGGTTGAAGGAATTGACCTAGAACGATCATGGTACGACGATCGTATACCTTGAAATTGGGCAAGTTCAATGCATGTTGCTCCGACTATGTCGGTGCACTGTAGTTGATCGTTCAGCGGTAGGGATCAGCACCAGAGGAGGCATGCATGTCGCAAAACAAAGAAGTTCAGTGCCAGCAACCGTGTGATTGAGCTCCGGATGACCGTCACCATCCATTTGTGCGTCACAACGGAGTTTTTGAGCTAAAAATGTGTTGATAACTTGATATATGAATGGAAATAGGACTCTACTTTCAGGGTTTTGTACAATTGTGTAGCGGTACTAAGGTTTTGAATTTCAATTTAAAAAAATATTTCAACTATTGGCCAAATCATTGAATTGCTCTGAAATTCAGTGATTTCGGTTTTTTTTTCGGCGAAATGACCAAAATTTTCAATTGAATTTTACTACGATTAGACCATATATTTAAAAAAAATGAATTTGTATGTACTATCGAAATTGCTGATATATTTTGACAGAAAGATAGTTACTGAAAATAAAGAAACTAGAGGATACTCTGTGCCTTGTTGTGATAATAATTGATGAAAATTTGGGCTGACAACATGAGAACCAAAATTTAAAATATATGCGACTTTTTAAATTTTATTATCCATAGTTGTAACAATATTTATTAAATATCAGTGGTATGATTTAATAACAACATTTTTCCATGCATGGTTGAATGTTGTGGTGGGTTTTTCTCATGCATGATTGCATGTTAAGGTGAGCACTGTCACATTCATAATTGTATGATGAGATGGCAATGCTTGCTTGTTGAGATAAATAACTTAGTGGCCATTATTCTCTTAGATATAGCAGATTCTGCACCCACAAAAAAAAAGATATACTAGATTTCTATAAAATTTCACTGAAAGCAAAAAATCGCTGAGGTTTCGCTCAAAGCATGCTATGCTTTTAGAGCGTGTTTGGAGACGTGCGAAATACTTCCTTGTCTTTTGTGTTGTTTTTGGGGAAGATACTTTGCTTGTCATATAGGCAAACACCCGGTCGTTTTCTTTAAATTTTGGAAAAAGTGTGGCCTACAGTATCTAGCTACCACGCACCGTGCCCATATTTGGTGTACCAACTTTCTGATTGATGTGCTACGGTTCTCAAGGCACCCTACTCTCTGTCTCTCTCTCTCTCGGCTCCCTATATATGGCATGCACAGGTGGATCGAACTCTCAACACCAGCTCCCCACTGCTCTACACAAAGTTCGGTTTTTACACTGGTAATTAATAGTTGCGCCGACAACAATGCAAGGCCTCGCGGCATCTTCCATGCTGTCTCTGACCGTCGTTGTCGTTGTGTTCCTGATCGGCATGGCCGACCACTCCGACGGCCGGAGGAGGGTCATCTCCAGCAGCTCCGACGAACCGTGCAAGGAGATGACGCTCTACCTCCACGACATCCTCTATAATGGTGCCAACAACAGCGCGAACGCGACTTCGGCAGCCGCGACCAAGCCGACGGCGCTGAGCACTACGCACTGGAAGAACGGCACCTTCTTCGGCACGCTCGTGGTGTTCGATGACCCCGTGACTGTCGGGAAGGCACTGCCCGTGGCGGAGGCGGGGGAAGAGCCGGCGATACGCGCTCAGGGGTTTTACTTCTATGACAAGAAGGAGTCGTACAATGCGTGGTTCGGCTTCTCCATCGTCTTCAACTCGACGGCCGCCACGGGCACCATCAACCTCATGGGCGCGGACCTCATGTACGAGGTCACGAGGGACATCTCTGTGGTTGGCGGCACGGGCGACTTCTTCATGACGCGCGGCATCGCCACCCTCCGCCTTGACGCCTACGAGGGAACAGTGTACTTCCGGCTGCAGATGGACATCAAGCTCTACGAGTGCTACATCTGATAACTTACTCCTCAAGTTTACATTGAGCCACAATAAGGAGTGATGTGCCGTTGTTGTTGGCAAAGCACGGGCCTTCGTTTGGATTCTGTGTGTGTGTGTGTGTGTTTTGCGGGGATTTGGATTTTGTGTTGTGGCCTTTCCAGCTTCTATGTGTGCCCATAACAGTTTCAATAGTGTGACACTATTTGTTTCACATAACTATATATTTGTATTATGTCTAAATAAACATATGGGTGATATACAGGTGAGGTGACCTACATTTCACTTATGCCCAAAAATATTAAATATTCATGTGTTTTTTAAATGTGCTTTGTATGTGAAAAAATGTCAAATGATCTTAAAAGAGAGATGTTCATGTGGTGAAAAAAGTGTTCATCAACTCATCAATATCTCTTCCAGAATCAAATCAGGTAGGAGTTCCCGAAAGCTTTGCCCTTCCCCTCAGCCCCGCGCCGCCACCCCGCAGGCGGCTCGGATGGCGCCGCCATTCCCCGTCTTTAGCTGTTGTCCCTCGTCCCCACCCCACCCTCCCCCGCCGATGGCCGGAGCCGCCAAGGCAAAGCCCCTGCGATGGCTGGCGGCGGGGGCTTCTTCCTCCTCCGCTCGGATCCGGGCAACGCGGGGTGGCCCGCCCGTCGGAGGCGTCAGGCGCGCACGGTGCCTGGCGGCGCTGCGGCGGTGTCTTCGGTCGGCGACGTGCCGCAGCACGTTGGCGTCCTGGCAGCTGCGTGCCCGTGGCCACGTCCTGGATCAGATCTGGGCATCAGTGGGCTGCGGGTGGCTCGGGAGGACCTCCGTCGGTCTTCTCCAGCTCTGGTTGGTTCTCTGGGGGCGGTTGGTGGCGGCGGAGCAAGGGCTTCGGGTGGTCGCGTGCCCGGCCAGGTCTCACGGATGGAATCCGGCGGGCGGCGCGGGTTGGGGCAGTGGCCGTGGGCGGCCGCGGTGCTGTATGGTCCATGCAGCGGCCATCCGGCGACGCAGCGGCTACACGGTGGTTCGGCGGCTTTGCCCGTGGCGATGCTGGCTCTACTCCGGCGTCGGCTCGTCGCGGGCTGACCGTGTCGACCTTCGCTTCATCTTCTCCCATCGTTCGGGCTCTACTGCTGTCAAAGGGCTGGCCCTCTCGCAGCTGCGGTCTATCGCTCGCCTCGCGCCCGGCGCGGTGGGACCGACCTCGTCTCGCGCACGGTGCAACATGACTGACCTCGTCTCACGCATGGTGCCGCAGGACCAAGCTCGTCTCGCGCCTGGTGCGGCTGGACGAGTCAATGGAGGTCCATTTTGACCGGCCTATTGGGTCTCGGCGCTGGGGGATGTCCAGGGGTGGGAAAGGCGGGATCTTTCCGCTCGTCTCTTTGGTTGGGGTAGCGGCGGATCTCTGGTGTGGTGGTGTATAGGTCTTGGATGCCGGGGCGGCGGTCCTGGGGTGGTGGTTGCACTGTGCTCTTGGGCCGAGCCTGTGGCTTGGTGCTGCCCGGTGGCCATGGTCGTGTGCGTGGCATGGTAGCCGGGGTGTGGCGATCAGTGGCGGTGAGAATTGTCCGGGGTGAAAACTTGTTCTATGTTTGGGCGGATCGGTGGCAGCGAGCTCGTTCTCTTCTTGAGGGCGTCGTTGCGGCTCTCACTGCCCTTTGTGCGGCTTGAGGGGAAACTCTGATCCTCGGATCGGGCGGTGGCGGCGCTCCAGTGTCGTATCCTTCCTGAAGGCGCCGTCTTAGAGCCCATGGTTCGTCGTATGCGGTTACATCTCTTCAGGATAGTGTTAGGGATGGTGTTGCTGCGCTCAGCGCCTATGTATCCTGTCCTGGGTGTGTGCGTGTGTTGTGCTGTCGTGCGTTTGTACTGGTTGATGTTGATCTTTGCTTTATATATAAAGCAGGGCGGAAGCTTCTTCAATTAAAAAAAGTGTTCATCAGCATCACATAAACAGTTGTTGATGAGTTTAGTATTTTATTGGAAACATATAAATAGAATATATAATTGAATAAACTAAATTAATAAAAATTTGAATGAACATCAAGTACATGGGCTAGGCCCTTGGACCAGCTAACGGGCCTGGCCCATGCTGGAACAACCAAGGTGATAAGAGGCTGAGAGGAAGGGACGAAGGGACCATACAGTGGATCAAGAACGACTTTGGCGGATTTCTACTGCCTCTCGTTCCTTACCTAAAAAACAACGGACTCCTTCTCCCTCAACCCCCTTCTTGCTCCTACCTTGTATCTCTCCTCCATTAGTTGAAGGAAATATGCCCTAGGGGCAATAATAAAGTTATTATTTATTTCCTCATATCAAGATAAATGTTTATTATTCATGTTAGAATTGTACTAACTGGAAACATAATGCATGTGTGAATACATAGACAAACACAACATCACTAGTATGCCTCTACTTGACTAGCTTATTAATCAAATATGGTTATGTTTCCTAACCATAGACATGTGTTGTCATTTGATTAATGGGATCACATCATTAGGAGAATGATGTGATTGACATGACCCATTCCGTTAGCCTAGCACTTGATCGTTTAGTATATTGCTATTGCTTTCTTCATGACTTATACATGTTCCTGTAACTATTAGATTATGCAACTCCCATTTACCGAAGGAACACTATGGGTGCTACCAAACGTCACAACGTAACTGGGTGATTATAAAGGAGTACTACAGGTGTCTCCAAAGGTACATGTTGGGTTGGCGTATTTCGAGATTAGGTTTTGTCACTCCGATTGTCGGAGAGGTATCTCTGGGCCCTCTCGGTAATGCACATCACTATAAGCCTTGCAAGCAATATATAGCTAATGAGTTAGTTATGGAATGATGCATTGCATAACGAGTAAAGAGACTTGCCGGTAACGAGATTGAACTAGGTATTGGATACCGACGATCGAATCTCGGGCAAATAACATACCGATGACAAAGGGAACAACGTATGTTGTTATGCGGTTTGACCGATAAAGATCTTCCTAGAATATGTAGGAACCAATATGGGCATCTAGGTTCCGCTATTGGTTATTGACCGAGAATATTTCTAAGTCATGTCTACATAGTTCTCTAACCCGTAGGGTCCGCACGCTGAACATTACGATGACAGTTTTATTATGAGTTTATAAGTTTTGATGTACTGAAGTTTGTTCGGAGTCCCGTATGTGATCACGGACATGACGAGGAGTCTCGAAATGGTCGAGACATAAATATTGATATATTGGACAACTATATTCGGACACCGGAAGTGTTTCGGACGTTTTCGGAGAAAACCGGAGTGCCGGAGGGTTACCGGAACCCCCCGGAGAAGTAATGGGCCCTATGGGCCTTAGTGGAGAGAGAGAGGGGCAGCCAGCATGGGCCGCGCGCCCCCTCCCCCTCTGGTCCGAATTGGACTAGGAGGGGGCGGCGGCGCCCCCCTCTTTCCCTCTCCCTCTCCCCCTTCCTTTCCCCCTCCTAGTAGGAGTAGGAAAGAGGGAGTGCTACTCCTACTAGGAGGAGGACTCCTCCTCCTTGGCGCGCCCTCTAGGGCTGGCCGGCCTTCCCCCTTGATCCTTTATATACGGGGGCGGGGGGGCTCCCTAGGACACACAAGTTGATCTACAGATCGTTCCTTAGCTGTGTGCGGTGCCCCCCTCCACCATATTCCACCTCGGTCATATCGTGGTGGAGTTTAGGCGAAGCCCTGTGCCGGTAGAACATCATCATCGTCACCACGCCGTCATGCTGACGGAACTCATCCCCGACGCTTTGCTGGATCGGAGCCCGGGGAACGTCATCGAGCTGAACGTGTGCTGAACACGGAGGTGCCGTACGTTCGGTGCTTGGATCGGTCGGATCGTGAAGACGTACGACTACATCAACCGCGTTGTCATAACGCTTTCGCTTACGGTCTACGAGGGTACGTGGAAAGTACTCTCCCCTCTCGTTGCTATTCCATCACCATGATCTTGCGTGTGCGTAGGAATTTTTTTGAAATTACTACGTTCCCCATCAGTGGCATCCGAGCCAGGTTTTATGCGTAGATGTCATATGCACGAGTAGAACACAAGTGAGTTGTCGGCGATACAAGTCATACTGCTTACCAGCATGTCATACTTTGGTTCGACAGTATTGTGAGATGAAGCGGCCCGAACCGACATTACGCGTACGCTTACGCGAGACTGGTTTCACCGTTACGAGCACTCGTGCTTAAAGGTGGCTGGCGGGTGTCTGTCTCTCTCACTTTAGCTGAATCGAGTGTGGCTACGCCCGGTCCTTGCGAAGGTTAAAACAGCACTAACTTGACGAACTATCGTTGTGGTTTTGATGCGTAGGTAAGAACGGTTCTTGCTAAGCCCGTAGCAGCCACGTAAAAGTTGCAACAACAAAGTAGAGGACGTCTAACTTGTTTTTGCAGGGCATGTTGTGATGTGATATGGTCAAGACGTGATGCTATATTTTTATTGTATGAGATGATCATGTTTTGTAACCGAAGTTATCGGCAACTGGCAGGAGCCATATGGTTGTCGCTTTATTGTATGAAATGCAAACGCCCTGTAATTGCTTTACTTTATCACTAAGCGGTAGCGATATTCGTAGAAGCGATAGATGGCGTAAACGACAACGATGCTACGATGGAGATCAAGGTGTCATGCCAGTGACGATGGTGATCACGACGGTGCTTCGGAGATGGAGATCACAAGCACAAGATGATGATGGCCATATCATATCACTTATATTGATTGCATGTGATGTTTATCCTTTTATGCATCTTATCTTGCTTTGATTGACGGTAGCATTTTAAGATGATCTCTCACTAAAAATTATCAAGAAGTGTTCTCCCTGAGTATGCACCGTTTCCAAAGTTCGTCGTGCCCAGACACCACGTGATGATCGGGTGTGATAAGCTCTACGTCCATCTACAACGGGTGCAAGCCAGTTTTGCACATGCAGAATACTCAGGTTAAACTTGACGAGCCTAGCATATGCAAATATGGCCTCGGAACACGAAGACCGAAAGGTCGAGCGTGAATC